CGCAAATAGCAGCAATTATCCCTCCATGTATCTTCCCTCTGATCAAACCTCACAACCTAAGCTAATTATCTCCCCTAACACTACCCCCTCCCCCAACACAATAACCTCCACACGCCGAGCTGGCCATGAGGACGACGCGTAAACAATGAAATTCAATTAGGCTACACTAGTTAACCTTGTCCAACTGTACAGTTTTTTATAACCCTGCAAATGTGTCGGCCTGATGATGGTTTGCTTCAAACATATCTTTGCCAACTTGACTTCTCAAAATAAGCATGATCATATTTGCAGAACAGGAAAGTAGTTCCTAAAATTGCTCATGATATTATGACAATCAGCTACCCAGGTAATACTGCAGTCAAAGACAAAACGGACTGCAATGTCTACTCATCTCGTATTGGCCCTCGTCAGCCAGGCATACGCAAACCCAAGTGGTGCACCACCCGAGGCTCGAACTGGCGACCTTCTCGATCAGAATGTAACGCTTTAAAAATTAAGGTGCAATCATGTTGTCTTGCCGGTTTATGTCGGGGCGTATTGACACTCGCTGATGAACGTTAATCGACCCTTAACGAAACTCATTTGTCCCACTCTGCATTGGGTCTTATTTGCGGACCCTGACAGCAGCCGTATCGGCATTTAGTCTACCCACATAGTATTTCCGGCAAAATAACGAGCTCGTGGCTTAGTCTTTAGAGCGTTAGGCACTGAGTTACATGGTCGTCAGTTTAAGCCTGCGGTGGTGCCCCACTTGCAGCTGTTTATGACTGGCTAAAGACGGCTAATAAGGCAGACATGCGTAGATTACAAAAATAGCGAGATTTATTGGTTCTATGCAATTTTGGAGAGGCAGCACCTACATACGGCGGTCGAAACTTGACCTAGGTAAACAGTTGGATAATGTGGTTACCCTAGCTCTCCCTCGGAATTATCTGACTCTCAGATGTACACAGTCCCCTATTCACATTTTACTCTAACTCCGCTCAATCTGTTTTCCTTTCGAACTCATTTTAATTCGCAAAATTCACTAATTAGTCTTTCTAATCCACCCTATGACAATTTTGACCTTTTTGTACCAATTACATTTTGCATCTTTCGTGGATCCAATAAATCTTGCTGTTTTTTTCAATCTACAAATTTGCACATGGGAAACTTTGCTTGCCATTTGAAAGCCAGAACTAGGCATTCCAGTCTCCCTTTTATTTACTGGGAATTATATATGCCTATAGTTGCCACGGCTGCTGTCACGACTCGAGAATCGATATACATGAAAAAACGGAACCGGTGGGAATTCTCCTAGTGGTTGTTGAACATTCATCAAGGAGCGGAATTAGACTCTTCATTTAGAAGAGCGTCTGCATCACATCGCGCCATAGAGATACATTGACGAAAACCATTGAAAGCAGACAAAATGCTTCTGTAATGAGACACGGAATGTCCTTTTCAAACATGTGCAATAGTCAACTGAAATGCAACAATGATCCTTTAAAGATAAAAACACATATAAGGTCACCAATAGAGGAGAATATCAGAGTTCCAGGAAGCAGTTCCGAAGAAGCGAGTTCCGACGAAGTAGCGATCACTGGAACAAGAGTTTTATTGTCTTGACGTTTGGGATTCGATCGGGAATCCTTAGTCATAGGTTATCGTAAATAAGTCTGAGATATGGACCCCTTATCTGCGAATGTCTCTGAATTGTTCGCGATTACCTATGACTAAGGATTCCCGACAGAATCCAAAATGTCAGGATAATAGCACTCTTGTTCCAGTGATCGCTTCTTCTTCATCGGAACATATAAGTTCAATATATTTCAAAACCACCGAGAAGCCAATTTGGGCCATATGGTACCGAGAACAGGTCATCTGTCTATATGCTCACGGCTGGAAATCCTCACAGTCCACGTGACCGGTATGCCACTCCCGATGGAGACGCGGAAATAACCACTGTTACATGCAGTCGTAGGCTTCGGGATAGTAGTCAGCATGCATTTTGTTCGCAAAGATGTTAAATGTTCGCCGCAGTTCGGGCACGTGCGGGCTGCCGAGGATGCATACCGACCGAACATACTTTGTAGGATAGAAGGACATCAGATGAGACCAGATGGCATACCGTGCCAAATGGCCCACACCTACCTCCGTGGGCAGAGGAGGATAAAGGCAGGCGCCTGTGGCGCGAATGTGAGAGTTGAATGCTGTGGTCTGGAAGAAGAGTTCATCTGGGTTTCTAATTGACTTGTTTAGGAAGAGGATGTCGAGGAGGGGGTTGTGTTGCCGGGCTGTTCAGAGCAAAGTCTAGTTAGTCACATCGGAAGGCACCGCAGATGCTTCCCTCGAATCACTGCATCTACCTCAACAGCAGAAATAAATCATATGTCGAACAACAATGTCAGAAATTATAGGCAAAGATGTTAAAATACGTACTGTTGCCACCAAAAGCAAGGTTTGTGTTCTCTATCCGTTTCTTGCATGCTACCAGTTTAATCCTCCTATCTGTGCAGCGTTTTTGTAAGATGATCATCCAATTAACAGCCATTTAGTGATATTTGACCACCGCTGCCTGAGGACCATCCTGCGAGTTGAGTATACTGACTTTAGCTCAGATGAGACAGTCCGCACTCGCTGCGATATCTTACACATCTTAGACTATTCAAGCAAAGCGACTGTGGTGGTTTGGGCACGTTCTAAGTCGACCGCCCCACGAGCGCACTGGCACCGAAGCGCACCTGGAGGTGTCAAAGAGGAGGAAGACTGAAGACTTGGCTAGACACCGTCGGTCCGTCAAGATATGAAAGCAGCTCTTGGACCTTATGTATTCGGTCTTCGTCGCTGGATAAGACACTGGGTGGATCTTTGTATATACGCAGCCGCAAATCGTCAGGCGTGGAGGGGTACAGTACGTGAAATCATTAATATCGGCTAGAGAAGGCGTAATTACAACCGTAATAATTATAAGCACACGTAAGGTAAGTGTCAAACCTGGACAATTATACGTTTACTCAGATGAATTCGCATTTTCCGTAAATTACAATTCGACCTTCATTTTAACTGAAACATACTTTGAAATGAGACTGACGCCAGCAAGTAATATTGCCGATTTTCTTAAAAATTTTCATGTTGCCGAGGGATGATGTCTAGCGAGATGCGTAGGAGTGCATCATGCCTAGTAAATGACTGACCTTTATAAAAAAACTTACGCGTTTCCTAAAACAGACCCGGTATCTGTACGAAATAAATATTGCACAGGTGAGACGTGATGCAAATAACTTGGAGTGCCGCATGAATCCCTACTTTGAAGATCTGAGGTCACTTATAGAGACCACAAAATGACAGCCGCCGTATAGCGCCGACGCCAAGTCCACAAACTGTTATGTGAAAGCCAATCACAGAAGCCGTAGCCTTCTATTGGGCAGGCAGTTGGACATGCGGCCAGTGACAGACTCTGGCATGATGTCTATGTATTCACGTCCATAGGACGTTAGCAGGCAGACGCACGCGCATGACCCATGCCAGCATGCTACGCACATTATGATCAAGGCAAAACAGTTTTTTGCCTAGGATTTGGGGAAGGGATCGCACAGATTTCATAAACGTTTGCTATAGATGTGGATCTTGCTATATAAATTATACGCGCATGAGAACATTGACGGATACGATGTATTGTGAGTGACCACCTCACAGTCGTAAAACAATATCATTATTAATTTTTTTCCTAAAATCGAAAGTTACCTTTTCTTTGAGTATAACACTAAAATAAAGCGTAATTACCTTCCAAGCGAGCACAAGAAAAACATATTTTCATGCATGTTTTCTATACACCATATATGAATTAATAGGGACAGTCAAATTCCGCGATAAAAAAACATACTATTGAAGTATTAATGTTTTACGAATCAACTTGTTATAAGAGGTAATAAGGAAACTCATTAAAGAGACGCCATCATGGCGGGACTTAAAGGACTTGTGATTAGGCTGAACGATAACTAGTATTGCAACTCTACTTAATGTAAGGGTACGAGTGATTACCAGTCTTTCGAAAGTTGCGGCATTTTGGTTGCAGCACTCGCCATACCGTATAAAGCATAAAGATGAATTTTCCCGACAGATTCGGCTGTGATTTGTGTATTGTGTTGCACCCATGTCGCTCTGCAAACACATTTCAGTATAAAGGTTCGGTATTCAGGCCCACGGCCAATGTTTAGAAATATGTGTTAAGTTGACTGATCTGATATAGACAAATTCGTAAATGCTGTCAGCCATGCACAGCCATCCATGAAGTTCACGTTGGACGTGGAAACGGCAAGTTCGCTTTCCTTCTTGGATGTCGTCCCCAATCGCGAACCTGACGATGGCGCCCGTAGAAGTGTTTATCGAAAGACAATCTACGCAATTTAACAGTGTATTACCCTTTTTAATCTCCAGAGAAATTAATTTCTGATCGCGGTATGTATCAATATGTTTGAGGTCTATAGGCGTAGACCGAAATTGTAAGTGTATATTTGTGTTGACACCCGTCAACCCCTGTGAAATATATACATGCTGCCATCAGACAGCCATTAGTAGTATAAATTGAAATTGTAACTTACCATACTAACAGCCCTCGCAGCTGTGTCAAGCAGCGGTAGAATACCGGCTGTTAGTAAGGTAAGTTACAATGTCAGCGTATTACCCTTTCAAAAACAGCGAACACCAGTTTGCTACTTAGTGCAAAGAGCTAACATATTTTTTGACAAATATCATTGAGATGGAACTTAAGAAAATACAAAAAAGAGTTGAGAGGAAAATAAGACCAGCTACATTGACTGTGGAAGAAAAAAGACTATTCTTCGAATTCCCTTCCATGTGCATCTACTACTTTACTTGTTCCTGTGTAGCAGGTTATATTGTTCGCACAAGTCGGCGCCCATCAAAATAATAAAAGGATGCCTACCGGCCTGGCAAATGAAAGGTGATGTTGATTCGGATATCATGTGCATCCTAATGCAACCTTCTCAGTCATATATAAGGTCCCACCAAACTATTCAAAGTCCCCGGGTCAGCGCCTGCTAGCAACAGCGAAATCGACCCCTATCAGACTGATAAAGTCGGCGTTGTGTGCAAAAAAGACCGTTCTAATGGCTCCGCCTCTAGCATGGCCCAGAGTCACTTGTCTTCATGCACACATATGCGCTATGTTAATCTCCCTTCCGCCTTCCCTAGACTGGCTCCACCAAACCTGTCTTCGTAACATTCCTTCTCTTTTAGATCACCTCACCCTATTTCCACGACTTACTTGTAGCAGAAGTCCCAATATAAACGTACTGGCCCGACGATAATTTTTCGAAAGCCTACGCACGCCCGCCAACTCCCAGAAATAATAAGCACAAAGGAAACACAAAAATAACGTACAACGCTAGGAGCGACAGGAGAAAGTCTGATTTCTAAATGAATCAAAAACAAAAGATAGAAGGGCACTATAATTTTGACAGCAACTACTGATATTCTACCCTCAACAGTTATTCCAGCATGTTATGCTTAAAATGTAGGAAGAAGTACAATGATAAGAAAACCACCTACCTGGTTCGGTAAGTTGACACCTTTAGTCCGAGTGGCGTATTTCCCTAGCCTTACAGCTTCCTACAGGTTAGATCCATTCAGCGCCTTCATTGCCGCGATCAGTTCCCGATTCGTGCGAAAAGGGAACCTCCTCTGCTGCTACATTCAGCAAGTATCGCCACCAGGCTGCCTTAGAGCCATTTCTGCGCACACAATCTGCGGTTTGAGCACACTGGCATCGCCCCACCTTACCATCACTCGGTACTCCGGAGGCACCACGTGTACATTGGGTCCAAAATCGCGCGTACGATAATTGTTGTTGTAGTTAATCCGCGGGGTGGTACATCTTTTTTGTTGTTTTTTATCATTGGTCTTGAGGCACGTCAGATGTCTTTCCCCACAGGCTAGACAGTAGGCGCTGCACGCGAATTGGCTCAACTGGTTCTGCATGGTAAATCGGGTCATAGGGAGGAGTGGGCCGGTTAAAATAAGAAGGCTGCCGGTTATGGGAATGAGCATTTTTTCGACGGCAGAGGACTTACGATTAATAATTACAATATGGCAACTCGGCAGATCCGTAGAAAATAGCCCTGCGCTAAATGCATGCTTTTTCTGTAGATTTGCAATTCACAGTCGACAGAATGTATTAAAAATACCCAATACAAGGATTGAATATCTGTGGCAGACGGCCACAAGTCCTGTCCTCCCTCCCTACCCTTCGTTATTCAGTGTCTGCAACCCCTTAATGTTTCCTTCTTTGCACACAGCTGTTCTGAGTTACTAATATTAAATCGCCTTACCGCACTCTCGACCATAACTTTGTACGTCGTCTGAGGGAGAGCTGTAGCCGACGCCAAACATGCCTTTCTCCGGCGTCCTTGTTCAAGGAAAGCTGCCTCAAAGACCTGCGGAGTCTTCACCGACTTCCACTCGGGCACACACGTGTGACCAAGTTCTCGCGGTTGCCCGAGTGCCACTTGAACATGCGCTTCTCCCCTACTTTCGACCGACAGAGCTTACGCCACCAGACGTGACACCCCTCGGGTCACAGTTCGACGATATCAACTACGAGCTTAAACGAATTGGAGCACGCAGTCACTGTAGCTGGATTAAAGTGAAGTTAGACTCGCTGGATCTGCTTCATTCTC